CTCCTTCTCCTTCTCCTTCTCCTTCTCCTTCTCCTTCTTCTCCTCCTTCTTCTCCTTCTTCTTCTTCTTCTTCTTCTTCTTCTTCTTGTTGTTGAAAATGAGGCTTACATTTCTGAAAACCTAAGTGAGTCTAGTTTCTTCTAAATTCAGACCACTTTTCCTAAACACAAAGTTAACCATAGCCAAAGTCACCATCTATACAGGTCTGTCTAGGTGACTTGTATTATGGTGACAGCTGTAAAGCATCGACTTTGGAATCTTACTGAGATTCACATGTTTATCCTATGGGGCTGATTTTTGGATACAACATACCTTGATGTGTCTATTTTGTATAGTTTTAGTTTCAAAAAATATTACTGAGTTTAAATTAGTCAAATCAAAGTTTTCCACAAATTGGTCTGAAACCGTAACTGCAGAATTGTATGAACTTTGAAAAATCACATAAAATCATTCGTGTTGAATTGGATGATGTGCTTTATATTTCCGAAAACCCCAGAGAGTCTATTTTCATAATATTTAAAAACATTCTGGACTAGAAGTCAATAATTAGCTCAAAAACCCCTAAGAAGAGAAAGGTGTCGAAGTTAAAACTAGTAAAGATAGGTTAATATGTTAGGATTTTATCCCCAGAGGCTAAGTACATTATTAAACACTTGTGTAGGTTTTCAAGCCTTAAATCTGAACTTGGATAATACCCAAAATTGCTTTCAAACAAGTGAGTTTCACTCCCCCTATGTATGTATGATTATGTCTACAATATGCATGAACACAACTCCTCATTTCATGAGACTCCCTCGTAAATGTGACTACGACTTGGTCCAAAAGGGCTACTACGATTATGGTCCGGAAGGGCTACTACAATTTGGTCCGAAAGGGGCTGCTACGATTGGATCTTGATAAAGATCACTATGAATATATATGTAGGACCGTGTTTCTCACTAAGCGTTAGCTTACCCTCCCATGTTCATCCTTTTCATGTACTTCTAGGGTTGATAAGGGGAAGGCTCCGGCGTGATTACGACCTCCGCCGCATTTATCACCAGTCTCTTGAGATGCCGTTTATTTACAGACTTCCGCTACGTTATTATGATTTCATAATTATCACGTTGAACTAGTTCTAACCGTTTTTATACATCATGTTACTTTTGAACATGTTTTATTGTATTGAGTGAAAAACTTGTTTTGCCTTTTGTTTAACGATACGAATGTGGTAACACTCCCTTATTTCCCTTATATTATTGTTTTAGAAAAAAAAATTGGGGTGTGGCAAGTTGGTATCAGAGCAAAGGTTTGAGTGATTCAAAGATGCATTTGTGTGTATTTGAACTCAAACTAAATTTACAAAGCAAAAACTTTACAAAAAATTCCAACAAAAGTTTGCTTGCAAATAGTTAATAGAACATTTGAAACCCTATTTGGATATTTTGAGGATAAACTCAACAAGAAAAATGTTTTCCAACGAAGAAATGATAAATGCGAGACGAGTAATCAAGATGGCGCCGACGGGGTAGTGAGTTCATACTATTGTTATACCCTTACACTTTTATGCTATGCTTATAGGATCATAGGTGCTCTTAGACATTTGCTAGACAACATAAATTGCTTCCTGAAAACAATCTTTGGTATAATAAACCTCCTAATGAGACGTACTATTAATCCCTAATGATCTAAGAACATCCTTAAAACACTCGGGATGTTATTAACTCTAATGTTATACGCCCTGACTACTTACGAGAGTGGTGCCTAGAAAGGACATGCGGCTTGGTTGTTGGGTTTACCAAAAGGTTTTATACCAAACGGGCCCTACCTCCCAATTGTACCTGTTTGGCCGTTTCTTTATTTGATAGTCATGTATGACATTGGGATTAATAATCAACTGAAACCATCCTACAAAACCAATTAGGTTAAGCTCAAACGACAAGGGTTTGGTGGGGAATGTTGAGATTAAATATGTATAGGTTTTTATGTTAACGCTGGCCACGTTATCATAAAAACAGGATATATATATTTAAGACTAGAGTAACCACCAAGAACTTTGGAATAAAAACTTAATCAATAAAAAAAAACCAAAAGTAATCCGTAAGATACTTCTACCATTCAGTGGTAATCATCTGAAATCGGATTAAGATCTAAACTCAAAACATACTCTTAACCAAATTCTTTCGCTACATAGAAATGGCACCAACAACAAGAAGGTCCTCAGGGGAAAGCAGTCAAGACCCTAACCTTAGGAGGGTGCTAATGTTCGAAGTTGGAGAGGCACTCCAAACTATGATTCCTGAATTGTTCGAACAAATGAAAGCCGAGCTGAAGATTGAGCTGGGCCAAATGATGGATGAAAGGATCACTACCTTGGGAGCAAATCACAACAAAGGACTGGGGAGAGCTAATGTTCTTCGAGACTTCATGGCCTGCAATCCGCCTAATTTTAAGGGCCAGAAGGACCCTTTAGAAAGTACACGCTAGATAACTAATGTTGAAGGTGCATTCCGCACCAGCTTTTGCCCTGCAGCAAACCAAGTCCTCTATGCAACAACCCTACTGCAAGGAACTGCGAAAATTTGGTTGAATTTGACTTGCAAGACCATCCCTGAAGAGGAGCTGAATGCCATGACTTGGAATGACTTTAAAACACGATTCTCCAAGCAATTCGTACCACAAATCGAGGTGGAACAGGTCACCAAGGAATTCCTCGACATGAAGCAAACGACTGAGTCGGTAAACGAAATCACTGATAAGTTCATGGAAAAAGCCCTATTCTGCCCCCAGTACATTGCTGACGAAACAATGAAGCTGTTTCGCTATACCGAGATGCTCAAACCAGAGATTAGATCTTTTGTCGCCCTAGCAAGATGCAAGACTTTGGCAGAGGCTATAGAAATAGCACGAGCCCAAGAGCTAGACTTAGACATAAAGAGAAAGACCGCACCATCCCATGAGGCAATGCATCTAACAAGAAATTCAAACCCTTTGAACCAAAGAACAAAAACAAATCATCTGAATCAAGGTACAAAGGAAGTTTACCATTGTGTGAGAAGTGCAACAAACACCACTATGGGAACTGCACTGACCTGGCATGTTACAAATGTGGAGGTAAGGGACATCTGACTAGGGATTGCAAGGAAGCAACAAAACAGTGCTTTAATTGCAACAAGCTCGGGCACATAAGGGCAAGTTGTCCCCAACTATTGGGTAAACTAGTGCAAACTCCTGCACTAGCAACTCTAAGGATTGCGGGTGGAGCGTCAAGAAAGACCGAGGCTCCAAGTGCCCAAGGACGAGCATTTCAGCTCACTGCGGAGGAAGCTATGGTTGCACCAGATGTGGTAACAGGTACTTCCTTTTCATATCTAAACGTAATAAACTATTATAGGTTGCATGCAAGTAGTAATTGATTGGATTATAGGTACTTTCCTTGTTAACTCCATACCAGCGCTAGTTCTATTCGATTCGGGAGCAAGTCGCTCCTTTGTGTCTCTTGCATTCAGCAAAAAATTTCAACTTATTCTTGAACCACTAGACAAACCCCTAAATATAGAGATCGCAGATGATAAAATGGTGAATGTGTTCGAAGTCTATAAAGATTGTAAGATAGAGCTATGCAAGACGAGGTTCACTATAAATCTCATCCCAATTCCGATGAGAGAAATTAATGTGATCGTTGGCATAGACTGGCTAGGGGCACATGACGCTCACATTGGTTGCAAACTGCAACAAGTCCATCTTCAAAACCCAAGTGGGAGAGAACTGATTGTCCAAGGAGAAAAGAAGAAAGGAAGGACGCTTTTCTGTTCTGCAGCAAAAGCTCGAAAGCATTTACAACATGGTAACACCGGATTCCTTGCGTACGTTGTGGATAGTCGAGAAGAAAAATCGAAAATGAAAATTGTCGATGTTCCCGTAGTAAAAGAATTTCCCAATGTATTTCCAGAAGACCTACCCGAAATTCCTCCCCATCGACAGGTTGAATTCAAAATCGACCTCATGCCAGGAGCAACACCAATAGCTAAAGCACCTTACAGACTTGCACCACCCGAGATGCACGAACTGTCTAACCAGCTTTAGGAACTTCTTGACAAGGGGTTCATCCGACCAAACAGCTCCCCATGGAGTGCACCTATCCTGTTCGTCAAAAAGAAAGATGGGTCACTCCGTATGTGCATTGACTATAGGGAGCTCAACAAGGTTACGATCAAGAATAGGTACGCACTACCTAGGATTGATGATCTTTTCGATCAGCTACAAGGAGCAACATGCTTCTCTAAGATTGACCTGCGATCGGGTTATCATCAAATGTGCGTCAAGGAAGAAGATATACACAAAACATCCTTTAGAACAAGATATGGTCATTACGAATTCGTTGTAATGCCATTCGGACTCACAAACGCACCTGCCGCGTTTATGGATTTAATGAATCGAGTTTGCCGACCCATGCTTGAAAAATTCGTTATCGTGTTCATCGATGACATCTTAATCTACTCAAAGACGAAGGAGGAGCATGGGAATCATCTACGAGAAGTTCTCGAGACCTTGAAGGAGGAACAATTGTACGCAAAGTTTTCAAAATGCGACTTTTGGTTACGAGAAGTCCAATTCTTAGGATACCTTGTTAATCAAAATGGTATCATGGTTGACCCTGCGAAGATCAAAGCAGTAATGAAGTGGGAAATTACAAAAAACCCCACTGAAATAAGAAGTTTCCTTGGTTTAGCCGGATACTACCGCCAATTTATACAAGATTTCTCAAAAATCTCATTGCCTTTGACAAAGTTGACTAAGAAAAATGTCCCTTTCAAATGGAACGATGAACAACAAACCGCTTTCGAGACACTTTTTCAAAAACTTTGTGAAGCACCAATATTGACACTACCCGAAGGGGTAGAAGACATGACTGTTTACTGCGACGCGTCAAATCGTGGTCTAGGAGTTGTACTAATGCAATGGGAAAAAGTGATAGCATACTCCTCAAGACAACTAAAGACCCACGAGGTTAAATACCCGACATACGATTTGGAGTTGGCAGCATTAGTTTTAGCGCTAAAAATCTGGAGACACTATCTCTATGGGGTAAGGTGTACTATCTACACCGACCACAAGAGCTTGAAGTACTTCGTAGATCAACAAAACCTCAACATGAGGCAACGAAGATGGTTAGATGTGGTGAAAGATTATGACTGCGAGATTCTTCACCACCCCGATAAAGCAAATGTTGTGGCCGACGCCCTAAGTCGAAAACCCAATCAAGAACCACTCCCAATCTCTTGCATGAGAATAACCATAGTCACACCACTTTTGGAGACGATCTAAAAGGAGCAAGAGGAAGCCATCAAGCCTGAAAACCATAACAAGGAACTTATCAAGGGCCAAAGTACGAATCTCGTCAAAGATGGTCGTGATCTTCTGACACGATACAACCGCATTTGGGTTCATCTGTAAGGGATACGAATGTGGTAACACTCCCTTATTTCCCTTATATTATTGTTTTAGGAAAAAAAAATTGGGGTGTTACAAGAGTCAACAGAGTGGCTCCGTATTGTATTATACTCTAGAAAATGTATGAGATTGTCCTTTGTGTGAAGGAGGACACAACAAAAACGATCATTCAAGACAAAATTCATTTGATCGCTGAATGTTGAGATTACGCTGGAGGGTCTCTTCAGCATTCGTTGAAAACTTGTGCAAACTTCACATATAAATTAGACGAGCTTGTAATCACTAAATGTCGCTTCAGATCACGAACGCGCTGGTCTCTAATATTCAATTTTTGTCTTCGACATTGCTGAAGAGTCTTTGATGCGAGTTTTGTCTTCTAGAAGTATAACAGTCTCTAAAGGAGTTACAATACATGTTAATCGATCACTGAACAGACTCAGTGATGATCGTTGAAACTAACATCATAAATTCTATACTTCGTAAGGTAAAAGGGATCATCATCAAATCAATTAGAGAGATAATCAACAATCTCCCCCTATTTGATGAGGACAAAACAACATAAAGAAATTGCCTAAGTTATAATAGTAAGGAAAAGGTACAAGTAAAATACAAGTCCCTTTTAACTATTTTGGGATCTTTTTCAGTGATACAATTTACTTAAGTTGTAAAGGATTATAAGTTTAAGGGAACCAAATACAAGTAATAATAACTGAAGCTGAAAGCGTATTCACTTACTGAAAGTTGTCAGTGAATGGAAGAGTAAACTGGAACTCATTAATACTTGTCCCTATTAATCCATACGCAAGCTTGAAATGCAGATGGGTATATAAGGACCTTTCGTTGGCAGAGTCAGGTTCAACATTGAGATATCTGACTTTTTCAAGTCCTCTAGGATTTCCTGTAAGGAGAACTTAGTTTCATGTTCATTACTTAGAGTAGGTCCATCATTAGGATCTGAAGGATTTCTTCTTTGCTTGGGCAGCATCTCTGGCAATGGAGGAACAACAACATACCTGGACACCTTCTTGATAAGATCATTCAGAATGTCTTCCATAATTGGCCAGTACCTGGACTTTGAACATTGGATGTGTTGAAGAATTTCTATTCATTCGTCATAGCCATATTGTTCAAGATACGAAGGGTATTCAGTGACCGCTTCAAGGTAGTCTCTGGTGATGACCATGGAAATGAGTATTCTACCATCTTTCATCCGTCCATTGATGGGGACATCTGAAATCCGATGGGGACTTATCCTTTTCTTCATGCACTCTTAACTCCATTTCTTGTCGTGATCTTTCAATGTCAATGCTCTCTTGTGTTCTCGTTCAGCTTGAGAAAGCAACTGAGCCTAGGATTTGATAGGGTTCATCTTCTCCGACTTTCCCTTGGCAAGAACTTTGACTGCGAGTGACTTGGCCAGCTTTAGGCTGTCTTCAGTTTGTTGTCTTTGAATGCGAAGTTTGTTCAACCCCATAACTCATAATGTAAAAAGTAATGAAAAACAATAAGTGATGAAGAACCAGAAGATCGATGAAGACATCAAGGCAAAAACGGCTAAGTCTGGAGTACAACCAGAGGACCGATGGACGACCTGGGATGCGATGGAAAGAGCATCCTCATCGATCCTCTGGTCATCAATAATTAGAGAATTTTCCAGCAAATCATCCAGGAGCATGCGATGAAGATTTAAAGATAAGGATGATTCATCACATTATAAATGACAGCTGGAGATGACATGTCGATAGCTAGAATTCATGTTTATCTTTAATATTTAAGCTTATCAATAGAGTAGATAAATGTTATCTGTTAATAGGAAGATTAGCTAAAAAGTCTCATTAGATAGTTATCTTCTTATTAGCTGATTAGTATAAATAAGTGATTAGGCCTATTGTAAAGAGTGGCTTGTTAGGCTTTTAAGGTTTTACGTTTTCTTATATACAAAGTGAGATCTTTGACGCTCAAGATTGTTCTTAGATGTTCATAATTTCTTCTTGAGTGTTCTTCATTTTGTTCATTAAATCACTATAATTTGGTTATTATTAACTAGATTATTAGTGTTATTGAGAGATCAGGGATCAACAATTGGTATCAGAGCCGATTGATTGATTTTCCAATCAAGACGATCAAACAAAAATCTCTCAATTTTTGATCTTCTCCCTCGTCAATACACAAATCCTTCTATTCAAAATTCTCAATGGCCAACTGGAATTCTGCTTATAGCGTTGGCTCCCTCACCAAGCCTCCAACTCTTCAACGAGAAGAATATCTACAATGGAAGATCAGAATGGTGAATTTCTTGGAAGGAATGGACAGGAACCTCCTTCGATCTGTAATGGAGGGTCCTTACATCCCACAAACTCTTGTCCCAAGAGTTCTAGGAACAAACACCACGGC